GACAGGGTCTCTTAGTGGACCCTGAGGTTACTGATTAGGCCTGGCTATTTGGCCAGCACATCCCCGAGATCCTCCAATGTCTGCCTCCCCAGTGCTAGGGTTACAACCATACACCAGCATGTCCGACTTCTTACAAATGCTCTGGAGAACAAACACGGGTCTTCATGCTTGCAAGGCAGGTCCTCGGCTCACTGAGCTACTTCTTCAACCCTAGAATGATGTTTAGATGATAAACCAAATTGATAGAGCCCCAACTCTACCGAAGTCTAAACGTGATACTTTCCCTGGGTTTGCCATAGTCCCATTCACGTGAAAGTTCTTCACAAAATCCAGCCATGGTACAACCTGTCAGTTATACACTGAAGGACCCTGGCCAACGGCAAAGGGGACGGCGCAGAACTCTCCTGATAGTCTGGGTGGGGATCCATCTGAGTTCTATCTTCTGAGTCCGGTGGACTCTGTGATGTTGGTTGGACAAAGTGCCTGTTCCTTCTAGGCCCAGCTGGACATTTATGAAGTGGGTAGAGCTAGATTAGCTTTCAAACTCTAGTGTCACCAAGTAACATTTGGTCTTATTTATAAGACAGAGGAAGATACACTTTCCAGACCTGTGTTTCTGCCGGAAGTGGCACCTGTGAGCCTGTGAGGAATGTGGGGGTTGGCATAGAGGGTCCTAGGTCACGTGCTTTCAAGTGAGTGAGATATCCTGCATCACTTCTATATTTCCTCACCTTCCAGTGACTGAAGAAACTGCGGAGAGCACTCACTCTGACCCCGACTGCTGTGCGTGCTTAGAGGGCAGGCACCACGTCAGCAGGCAATGTCACCAGATCCTCTTCTGAGCCCTTAGCACAGATCTGTCTTTTGTACTGGATGCTGCCACCCAGCAGCAGGGTGTGCTCTAATTATTATTTTAATTTTGTGTTGGCAGAAAGATACTTTGAGGGAAGCACTTCCTTTGGGGGGCTATTCAGATCTCCAGACTTCTGGCTCAGGGCTTCTCAGCACACATGAAGAACATATTGGTTTTCCCCCAAACTGTCCTCTGTACAGCACTTACCCCACTGCTTGTGGGACCCAGGATATGTTTCCTCAGTTCATCCATCCCTCCTGGGATGGGGGACCAAACAGAGGGGACAGCCTACAAAGGGCAAAGCCAGCTTATCCAAATAAACACTGCCTGGTACTTACGCCGGGCATGCCTCGCTGGCTGCCAGGTCACAGCGAAGAATTAAACAGAAGCTCCAGGCTTACATAATCAAAATTTGCACCGTACTTGACTTTTTTTTTTTTTTTCATATCAGCTCTTTGCTACAAGAACTTCTTGAACTGACATACACCGGTAAGACATTATTTTGTGTTGTGTATTATGGTTTTTTTAGGGGGCAGGGGTGGGATCAACCTCTCCTACATTGCTCAAGGTAACAGTAGTAAGGTTCTCACAGTGAATATTCCTCCTTCTGAGTTGAAATAGTGTGGCGTGAAAAGGCTTGAGAACACAGAATTTCAGGTTCACAGCAGTGTTGGGCTATTGACGATTGAGCTCTGCACTATAGCTTCTGTGCTGTGGTCTTAAACACTGGATTCTAGGCCACTGTGGGAGAACTGGTTACAGAAGCTGTCCAAATAAAAACCAAATCAGAACAAAAAGTCCTCAAACAAAAAAACAAAAAAACAAACAAACAAAAAAAAACCAACCAAAAAATGAATAGTTTGCATATACATTTTAAATGAATATTTTAAGTATAATATTTTTAAGAGTATGGGAATTCTAGATGAGTAAGTATACATTCATCCAATCAGGCCATTTTGCATGTGAGCAGTTCCATAAAATTTGCAGAGCTTGGGAAATTAGCATTCCAAGAGGACAGTCCTAGGTCTTATCAAATTTATTCTGAAAGCTGCACATTGCTGGTCTGACTTCACAGGATCTGAAATATGGTATTTACCCCATGTGAACATGTGGTAAAATCATCAAGAAAAGTATTTTGTTCCTTTGCACAAAGCCTCATTTTAAAGGGAACCTTCACTGGTAAATTTATGCAGCCTGTAAGTTCCACAAGGGGTTAAAACATTACAGGTACAAGTCAGGTGGCCATTATAAATGTTACCCAAATAAAAGCCCAAAACAGGAAGCCAAGAAGCAAGTCCCTAAGGCAGGCAGTGTCTTAAATGATATCATCTGTCAAGTTTCCAGCATCTTGTGGCGGCAGGGACACAAAAAGAAGGATTTCGTGGTGCTGGGACACTGTAGCCTCATTAGCTGCGGCCCTCCTCTACACACAGCGTAGGGTTTCACGTTAATAAGCTGCAGCTACTTCTCACACACTTGCATTAGATAAACACCAAAGGAAACACTAATGACCATCTACAGAGGCTCCATTCCATTCCTGAACAAACTCCATTCTGGTGCAGTCAAACCATAACAACACATAGAACCGATCTCTCTTTGCAAACCAGTTCCTAGATTTTTTTTTTTTTTTGTTGTTGTTGTTGTTTAGTACTGAAATCAATCAGCATCTGCAGGACCAGAAATTATATTGTCTGTGCTTTTGTGCATTCAAAACAGGTTAGAAAGGGGTGGCAGTTGACTTTTCAGAACTCCTGACCAAACATGAAGGCATCCTAGAGGTGTCTTTCTCAGGAGGTAATGCCTTCTTTCCTGCTGGGCCAGCAACCTTACACCAAGAACTGAGGATTGATTTATCCCACATCACTGCTCCATCCCCAAGTCTCCCCTAGGGCAAGCTGACAATGGCCCTGAATTAGGAATGCTCTTTTTGTGATGTGGACCACAGCAGAGTGTGGACCCTCACAGCATCTCACTCCCCATTAGTGACTGGACCTGGATAACAACCCGAGGGGGCCAAACTAGTATTCCATTATAACCCTACATTTAAAAATCATTTTTCAAAAGAATTAAAAAAACTTTTTAACGTATTTTTGGGATTATTGGAATGGGCAGAATCATTCATGCTTGTTTTCTAAGAATAAATGAAAACAGCATGTACCATAGTTTCTCTGTTTGGGGACAGAAAGACATGTTTCTTCTTTTTTTTTTTTTTTAAATGTTGTTTTATTTTAAACCTGGGTGTTTGAATTTTACTTTTACATAGCTGAATTTAGTATATTCCCTCAAAACATAATACATTTTTATTCCATAGCTTAAGGGATCCATCAGATAAAATGTTGGTCTTTCATCTTTATTACCCTCCCATTAAAATGAAGGAAACCGGGACTCACTTCAGTTTAGAAGAGGCAATTTAGTTGGTAATGTCCTCAGTCCTCCAGCCTTTTCAGAGGGAGAGTGCATTATCACTGAGATTTCACACATCTATCTGCATAGGAAGCAACTGAGCCTTTCAGACATATACTACGTTAAATTTAATAATAGTCTTTGATTGGATTATTTTATTACAACATTTTTCCATTACCAGTCATTTCCTGAGCATACTAACATTCATAAAACCTGCCCGCCCTCCCTGTTTGTTATGTTTGTGTACGGAAGAGCCGGCAAAGTCTCTCTGCCACCGTGGCTGGGTCTGAAAGGGGCAGATTAATAACCAGGCACCACATTGGATGAGCCTTTCCTGTTCCTTGCACCAGCAGCCCTTTGCTATGACGAGGACACAAAGAGCCTCGCGTCAGGCTGATACCCTTCTTCATAACTCAAAAGCGTCACAGTGGCAATAGCCTCTAGTGCTATTTGTCTTTAGTGCGGTTCTGACACTTCGGCATGATCCATAATTCCGCAGCTATTTACCGTGACATTTCCCTTCAGTGCGGCCATAACATTCAGTGAAGCCATTATTTGGATCCATTTACCATATAAATTGTATTGTTGTGCATGCATGCTAGCAGCTACATTAGGTACCTGGAAATGAGTAAATCTTGTAAAATAGATACTAACAGCTACTCAGAAACAGGATCTCTCTGCTCCTCAGATGCAAGGAAAGAATTAAATCTGGCCCCCAACTTTCCCAAAGCACTCTTAATTGCATTCCCATGCATTGAGCACGTTTGATGTACTGAAACCCAAGACTGAAAAATAATCGGACAGGCTTCACCTTCGATTAGAAAGGCACTGTGGGGTTTTGATTCCACGACAGAAGTGGCAGGCAGCCTTTGGGCACCGAAGGAGAAGGGCAGTTTGAAGAGAAGCAGCATGGAGGTTGATGGACAGGACTGTACCAGCACACCACCTAGAGCAGGTGGGTGGCGCATTTCTCTCCCCACGGAGAAGCGAACTGGGAACGCAGGGTCCCTGACTACCATTCCCCCACCAGAGACCAAGCCTTCCGCGTCAAGCCTTTGAGGAGAAGCAAACGGTTATGATTTTAGAAGACCTGGGTGCCTACTGTGTCTGGGGACAGGAAGTGAGCTGTGTTTAACCTTTCACATGCTAGAGTGAGCCCCCTTCTGTGATCCCTGTTCCTTCATTACCTGAGCCTCTCCTGAGGAGGTAGCATAGAATTTTCTCTTTCCTCTGTACACAGTAGTTTTTCACAAAGTCTCCCTAAACCACAGCTTTCTTTTCCAAAATGCACTCTTTTTCTAAGAGTAATTTCTTCTTGGAACAGGAACATTTTCTTCACAGAGAATCTTACCAGGATGTGAATTCAAGTCACCAAATAGCAGCTGCGTCATTAAGACATATCTGTTTGCTGAATCACTTCACAGGGTTAAATTTGGAGAATTCTCCCCCAAATGTCTATTTAGATAGTTAGGGCTCCTTGCGAAGCATATGGACTGTAAGAATACCAGGCTGACCCAAATTACCTGCTCACCTGTGAAGGACTTATTAACACTAGAGCAGCCGCTTCCAAAGCAAAGGAGACTTGGTGAGCTATTTGAAGACTGATTTAAAAAACTCATCAGTAAGCCGGGGACATACTGACTCGATCAGGTCCCACATCAGGAATTAATCTACTTCCCTGGAACAATAAAATCTGGAATGAGACCGTCCATGACTAAAGAATCGAATGTAAACATTTTACCTCTTAGCTATAGAGAGAACTTTTATTGAGGCACGTTATTTTTACCCCCAAGGAAAGCGGGGAGCAGAACTGATTAGCACTACATTTTGGTTTTAAGAAATACTATGTTCATCCCAAGGCTTTGTCATTGATGTCATAGCTTACTGCTGACACTATGAGGTAATTCCACCACAAGTTTCCCAATATTTTTCCCAGTGTACATATAGTCAACAGCCCGGAATATAGAGTCCAGGCCGATGAACCTCCCCTCTGGAGCCAGTTGTCCCAGGTCCACCTCACAGACCAGTTCCCCATGAGTGTACAGCTCCAGCAAGTGTTCCATGGCGGCCTGGTACTTGGATAAATAGTGGTTCAGAAAGAAGCCCCGGAGACTGGCAGACTTCCTCAGGAGCTTGGCCGGCAGAGCTCCTGCTTTTACTGGTGACAGACCTGAAGGGCTTTGGTAGCCAGAGATAAACCCAATTACCATCAGACGCCCTTTGATGGCCAAGGCATCCACTGCCAGGTCAAACATGGCTCCCCCAACAGACTCGTAGACTACATCGACACCTTCAGGGTACTCCTGCTTCAGAACTGTCTCCACAGGCTCTGTTTTGTAGTTGATGGGGCGATCACACCCAATGGATTTCAGAAAAGCTAACTTTTCATCCGATGAGCAGGTTCCAATGACATGGCACTTGGCTATCTTTGAAAGCTGCACAGCAAACTGACCTGTCCCCCCAGCGGCTGCGGTGACCAAAACTTTCTTCCCTTCTGACAGCTCTCCGAGCTCTTGCAGGCTGATGTATGCAGTGGTGCCACTAACCAGCAGAGTGAGATACTCGGGTTTCACTGAAGGCACGGGAGTGGCAATGCTAGCAGGCACCACTGTATACTCAGCAAAGGAACCAGGAGCCACATAAGCCACAGCCTGGCCCACTGTGTACCTAGCGCTAGCAGAGAGGCCTAGGGCCACCACCTCACCAATCCCTTCAAAACCTATGTCAAAGGGGGGCTTCACGGACGGGTCATAGCGGCCAGCAGAATAGTTGATGTCGGATGCGTTAACACCAACGAATCTAGAAGAAAACAAACAGATGTATCAAGATTCTTTTTTGTTAAAGATCTTCATATTCTGCTTAGAGGGAAGAGGCCTTTCTAATTCCAGGGAGTATGAAAGAACTCCTAAACTATGGGACTTGACAGAATTCGGGAGAATAATTCCTGCTGCTTAGCTGAAAAAAAGAATTCAAACATGTATTAACTCGAGTTTGGGCGGATTTTATTCTTTTACAGTTTAGGGATAATTTCATATTACTTTAATCAGCAAGTGATGTATTCGTATTTCCTGTGCCGCTTACTTCTGTCCTCTTTCAAAAGGCAAAATGAGGGGAAATAAAAAAAAGACAGGAAGCCCTCACCATACACCAAGTTCACTGGAGCTCTGAGTTGGAAATTAATTGGTCTCTTAACAGAGATGTTAAAACAGCAGTGGGATAAAATACACCCGAAGAAACACACTTGTATCGATTCTGGCAACAATTTAACACTTCAGATAATCATAATAATGACAATGATATTATTAAAGATTGATGGACACACAAGGTCATCCATGCGACATGTTACTGCCCCGGCTGTTTGAAACACCGAAGCAAATTTTCTCTCTGATGTAACTATGCCCAGCATGAACATACTCATTTTGATTAATTGAACAAAAACTGGGGAGAATGATTTTTATGCAGCATTCGGCATTTTACAGCCTTTGCAGATGAAAAGGGAAGCCAGCCCTCACTGTATTTTCCTCAACAAGAAGCAGAGACCCAGCCTGATTAATAGCAGATGACTTTCATTTTGGTATCCAGGCTCACGTTAACTGTGAGGCCGGTATTTACCAGCTTTTCTTTGTACCCCAGTATACCTCATAGCAAAAATATCTCCACGGGCGAGTGGTAGCCATCTTCTAAGAATGTCAGGAGGGAACTCTAACACAGAAGGACCCCAAAATTGCCATCTCCTCCCGTAAGGAAGCGAAAAGATGGTAGGTAGGAGAGAAATGAAAAGTATTCACTTTTAATTTATGAACCTAAGCTGTCCTGGGTAGGGGCACACTCTCATTATTATCATAGCCAGTGCCCTGGACTTCCAAACGGGTCCTCACAAGTATTCTACCACAAAGAAAGATCTCAGTAAGAAAGCTGGAAACAGTTTCTTCCGCCAAGTTGCTCTCAGAAGTCAGCTAGCTTACCATGACTCCAGTAACTGTAAATTCTGCTTTCTGTACTCACAGATAAAGCCAGTAACGCAAAGTGGGGAAAATCAGTTTCCACACCGAAATGCCAATATTCTATTTTTCGGAAAAGGGGTCGGCTCAGCTTCGGATCGATTTCCCTTTAACTTTACACAGTTCTCCAGCTCTGACCTTTCTGAAAAGGGCTAGCTAGCTCCCTAGATCTTGATTCTGGACCTCCCAGGGCCAGCTCACTAGAGCCAGGATGCGGGGCTCACTGCCCTTCATTCATTGGAAAAGCCAACTCCAGGAGAGAAGGCCGCCAGGGTGGAAGTGATCTTAGGGCAGGGGAACAGGGACCAATTGCCAGTCCATCTTCTATTCGAAATTAACCCTTCCCATTCCCCTCCAGGGAGCCCTGACTATGGCTCCTAGGAAAGCTGGGGGCAGACAGTGCTGCGGTCCAGTGGGTGGGGTGGGTAGGATCCGCAGGACAGAGATGCAAAGTCCCTCCTGCCCCGGGGAATTTGCCTTTTCCCTGGCAGGGCACACTGAGGGAGGGAGGGGGCAGCTGAGACCAAGTTTGGAGGGGTAACAGCGTGGCTCAGCTGGAGCTGGACTGGTTGCTGAAGGCCAGTAGAGGCTTGGGCTGGAGACACCCCAGCGGTCACTGTGCCCATCAGCACCCTGCCCAGAAAGCCTTGCAGCGCTCTGGGGTGCTTCTGGGCGGGTCACTGCTGGGAACCGCGGCCTTTCCATCCCCACCACCTCAAGTCCCAGAGCAAGACGCGGCTGGCTGCCGGGTTTCCGGGTTTCCCGGCCCCACGGACAGACATGCTCTTCCCGAGTCCCAAGAAAGCCACGCAGAGCAAAACTCGCCAGCTCGTGACCTTGACCGCATGTACCTCCTTTTCCCACCACTCTCAACCTCTCTTCATCGTGGGGATAGATTGCCTATAGCCTGTCTTCTGGTCCCCATGCTCTCTCCAACGTCTCTTGGTCCATGGCGCCGGGATCCCTGTCTCTACCTGGTACCTAGTTCTGGCTCTGCGTCAGTCCAGTCTGCGGTGGTGGAGACCCGCCACTGCCCTGGATGCACCTTGGTCCTCACCTGGGCTTTATCAGAAGCTGTGCAAGCCTTCCCTTCCTCCAGAAACAAGTTCAAGGGCAGCGGGCTCAAAGGGAAAGAGGGACCACCGGGTCAAGGAAGGAAGAAAGGAAGGCGAGCCACAGGGAAAAACAAAAAACAAAAACAAAAATCAGGAAAGATGCGCTGGCGCACTTGGAGACCTTCCCTGTCTCCTTCAATTGAAATTGTGTGCCAGTAATGACCGCAGGACCCCGGCAACCGGAGAGGAGTGAAAACCGAAGTCTAGGCACCCCACGAAAATTTAATGGGACCGCAGCAGGCGTTTCCCAAATATATACCCTTCTAAAGCCACTTGGTTATTTATACTAGAAAGTGGTGAGTGCCTAGTACGTTTATTGTAGAAGCCATGGGGATGGGGGGGGGGGCTTTCCTTTGAACAAACACCAAACAGGAAAACTTGGATCACAGGAAAAGCCTTGAAAACTGGGAGACAATGTCGTCCAAACCAGACTTTCCTTGGAAAACAAACCAACAAAAAACAGAAGGAGAAGGAAAAGTTAAGGGGGGGGGGCGTGGAGAATCTGGGCTTGGAGAGTGAGCAGAAATATTTTACCCTCCCGTGAGCAACAAACCGTTTATCACACCGCCTCCCCTCCCCCACTACTCACCGCCATTTCTACAAACTCTTTGCATTATCTTACACTTGAGCAGAAAATCGTTAGGAATATTTGGAAACGAAAAAAAAAATCTGTCATTCTCACAAAAAAGACAAAAATAGCACACACACAAAAAGGACTTGACCATCAGTATCGGTCTCTTTTCCTTTTCCGAGCGCTGAGCGGAGGGGGAGAACCGGAGTTGTCCTGTGGATGCGTGAGGCAGTAAGGTGATGGCTGGTTTTGTACATCAATTACTGATTCCAGAGGGGGGTTCTGTGCACCCCCTCCACACACTTTTCCTTAGTTGTATAAACTTTACTCTCCTAAACCCACATCCAGCTTGCATGCGCTGCCCTTCTTGTGAATGGAAGAATGTGTTTTGCTAACTGGAATGAGGTGTAGAAATAGTTCACTGGAAGAAAAAGTCAGAGGACTGAGCACAGTTAAAAGCTCCAAACTTCCTTCCAAACAAATAAATTTGGGCTTAGTCCACCCATTGCAGGGGAGATTTTGTTATGCTAAAAATGAGGAGCCTCGGAATAAAAATGCGGTGCAATTAGCACTACTTAGGAGGCTATTGGCCCTGGATTCAAATGAACTAACTTGCGGTTAATTATTAAACTCTGCTCCTCAAAATAAAATGAAACCGGGAAGAACACTGACAGTGTTCATAAGAATAAAAGGTCTGCCTTCAGTTGAGTTGGTAGACTTTGTTACAGAACAGCGTCGAGGGAGGCAAAGATTCCGCCCGCTTCCAACTCACAAACTGATTTCATTTTCCCCCCAATTGTGGATTCAAGGTAGAAGTTAGAAGTCAAGTTGCTCATATAAAGCACTTGTATCAAAGGGTTTCTTGGCAGACATGGAAGCAAAATAGAGCTGTGGATTTTAAAACGACACCAACAGCTGAATTTTCCAAAATGGAAGTCTATTCTACTGCGACCCGAAGGAACACCCAATTCCAGACCAACCAAGATGACCCTGGGTATCCAGGAGTGTTGCAGCGAGACGTTTGGAGAAGCGGAAGACATTTGGAGAAGCAGAAAGGGAGCCAGCTAGGTCGACTAAGCGTTGGGGGAGAGCGTTGGGGGAGACCTCTGAGACTTAAATGAACTCCAGGGTGAGAGGCCCCCCAGACCAGCGAAGCAGACTAGCCAGACTCCATGGCATGGGAGTCCCACCTCGATGTTCCCCGGCTTCTCTCACTTCACACCTCCTCTCAGCCTGTCCCCTTGTGGTACCCCCTCCACATTTCACACCTGTTTCAACGAGGGATTTTATGTAAGCAGTTGTGTGTGTTTATTAGTGTTTACAGTCAACACTATATAAATCACAACAATAAAAGAAAATGAAAGCCCGCCGTGGAACTTTTTTTTTTTTAATCTCCCACGAAGTTTGCTTGGAAAGGTTTTCAGTCTATTCTCACCTCCACTTCGAACAAATCACTGGTGTGCTCTGGATGTTCTATGTGAACACAAGCCGAAGGCCTTTTTTAGGTTGGCAGGGCTCAAATTTTTATCCTCCACAGATATCCTCAGGATTTCATCACACAATGAATGCTCCTCTGCGCCATGAGCAGCCACAGCCAGCTTGTTAAGGACATCCACACCACCCTTTAAGGCACTCTCCACCCACGCACAGTCCCACCCACACTCAAACGCTAAGGTTCCAACAGGTTTCCAAAAGTTTCACAATCAGCATTCTTCATTCCTACAGGCTTGTTTGGAAAGTTGACAGGAATCTTTAAACTGGACTGGTTGAACTAACAATCTTTGCACCCAGTTACTTGGGTAGGCAAGTCATTTAGACCTTCCAGGGGACCCCCCCCCCCAAAAAAAAAACAAACAAAAAAAAACAAAAAAGAAAACTTTCTGGTACAGAGTTTACAGCTTGGATACAATCAGAACTCCTCCCTTCCGTAATTTTATCTAGCTTCCAACACATCACGCTGGGACCTTGGAGCCCAGCAGGTGAAAGGGCACCAGAGGGGAACCCCTTCCTGACAGTCCGGCAGTGAGAGGACGCACTCAGCAGACCTCAGTGTGGTATGGTCTGGCCTGAGACCGGTGAAGTCTTACACTTCTGCTTCGCCACTTCCTAAAGATTAGTGATGTGGAAAATCATTAAGGTGGGAAGCATCAGGTAGAAAGGTCAGGTCTGGGAACAACCAGTGTGCCACCCGAATGCCTGCAATGCATTCGGGTAAATGCAGCCATGCCCCCGCCCAACGCTGGCCCAGCTTGCTGGTGCACGCCTCCGCTGTGTGCACTCAGGGGACAGAGCACAGTCAAATGGCATTGACAACGCGCAGACTAGGTGCACACCAACACGCCCAAGGACAGGCTCCGCCAATATGAGATGGAGGGGACAGGAAAAAAAAAAAGCAAACCGAAGAAGGGCCCCCTTCCTCCAAAGCACGTTTACCTAAACGTCGCAGTGTGTGTCCAGGCTGTTGATGCTCCACTAAAAATTATAGCAACGCAGGAACCGTGGGTGCGCGCGGGTGGGGAGCCTCCCTTTCTGGGTCCCGTCGTTTTTATTTAGGGAGCGGGAGGGGGAGGAGGGACGGCTGGGGGAGGGAGGAATCCCAAATTAAAATAACCCCCAGATAAGAGGACGTTTGGTGGCATCGGGTATTCACACCAGCAAGTCACATTACATTCGCATTCGCCAGATGGCGGCGGGTTCAACTTCCCGGGATCTCGCAAAGTCAGGCTGTGCGCCCAAGCGCGCGCCGCAGTGTGGGCAGGCGGGCGACCCGGGACAGCCGGGAGCCCAGCTGCGCGGGACGGGGACCGGGACGGGGTCGCGCGCCGGGCTCACCGGTTCCGGACGAGGAGGTCTCCGTCCCCGGGGAGCGGCACTGGGCAGTCCCGGCGCAGGGTGACGGCCTCGCGGAAGTTAGGGCTCAGCCGGGTCACCACCAGCTTCTGCATGGCTCGGGGGATGGCGGAGCCCTGGAAGTCCAGGAAGTGACGGGCGTACGACATGTCCACGATGGCTCGGGCCCCGGCGGCCGTCAGCCTCAGCATAGCCCGCGATCGGCTCCGCCCGCTCCTGCGCCTATGCTGGCCCGGGTCGCGCCCAGCCCCGGCCGCTTGGCTCTGCTCGGCTCCGTGCGGGCGGGCCCGCCCCTCCTCCGGCCCGCGCCCTCCCCTAGGCTCCCGCCCTCCCCTCACCGCCTGGCTCCCGCTCCCGCCCCCGCCCTCCGGCCCCGCAGCCCCCGCGGAACCCGGGCGCGCCACCCCAGGATCCCTGCCCGGCCCCGCTGCAGCCGCAGCCGCTGCTCCTTTAATCTTTTTGTTTTGGTTTGAATCCGCTCGGCTCGCACTGGCCTAGGATCTCCTCCGCCCTCCCCTTTCCTCCGGGCGCGGGAGAGGCCCCGGATATCCCCACCCTCCCCACGCTCTGCGACAGGATTTGATTCCTCCACCGGGGGCGGGGGGCGCCAAGCTAGAGGGCCAGCGCCCTGGCGATCGCCGCCGCCGTAGCCTAAACGTCCCCGAGCGGCACGGCGCCCGGCGGCCGGCGCAGGCGCCTCCCCTTCCCGTGCGAAGCGTTCACTTCCTTGCAAGGTGGTACGAATCAACCCCGAGCGCGGCCGGGGCGGCAGGGCACGGCCGGGTCCCGGGCCTGGGCCGGTCGGGGAACCCGGCTGCTGGTGCACGCGCACCAGCACCTTCCTGCTGGCCAAGGGCGCTTAGTGCACCGTGCATCCCCGGCCTAGGCCTCCGGTGCTCCGAGCGCGTCGCTCGCGCCTGTGCTCGTTCAGTCTGTCCCGTGCAACTTGCACGAACTAAGCCATTTTATTTATCTTGGCCTAGATTTCGTGTTTTTCCATGGATGTTTTAAGTAGCTCCACAATACTGTTACAGCTTTCCCACTGGGAGAGAACACACATACAGAGTGCTACATGGCCGAATTCCCAAAGCGCAGAAGCATTTTAAAGTTCTAGGTGGGGCCGCGGAGGGGTTTAGTGGAATTGGAGACTTGGTAATGATCTATGAAGACTTCGTTTTCTCACTCATCTAGAAAGATCTGTCTTTCTATCGTGCCAATTTTTAAGCTAATTGTGTCCATTGACCAAATAATTGACCAAATAATTCACCTTTTTTATAGGGGCCCCATTAAATATTTCCGGACATTTTATGATGAGCTAAGTCCATTTTAAGTTTATATTTTAGGTGTGCATTTTAATTTAAAAATAACTGCTGTTTTCCACTTAACCTGTGAATTGCAGAAATACAAAAGCCAAAAGCCACGCTGTCCTTCACTAACCAAATCTAACCCCCAGACTAAGGGTGCAGAAGTGAAACAGGTATTTTTTCCCCCAAATGTAGGACGTGCTTCACCCAAGAGTGGTTCAGATCCACGTGGGCGCGTGTGTATTCATGTACACGCGGGGGAGGGGAACTAACAGGTTTAAGAATCTGCAGGAACTGATGTCTGCCTAACTAGACTTAGGACTCATGGGTTCCGCCCGAGATCAGCCAGTGCATTACAACACAGCCCCCTAAATGTCTTCCTGCAACGTGCAATCTTTTATGTTATGCTGTATTAAGATTTCTTTTCTGTGTCATATTGTTTAGCTCCGAAAAAAAAATAAAAGAAAACAAAGCAATTAAAAAGATTGACAGGTATGGTTTGTGTGAGACCTATTTGTAATTGTCAGGGTGACGTTGGCGAGAGGAGGAGGAGTAAAAAGTGAGGCAGGAAAGCAGCTCGATGTGTCTGTCTATCAGTTGAGACTGTCTGAAAGCTCTGCGATCCGAATGTGTGTTATATTTCACTGAAAAGAGGAGAGAGGGAGAGCGCATCTCCTCTCTCCCAGGAGTTTGGGGGGGACAGTACACGCTCATCTCGCCCACCCAGTGAATGTCCGTTCTTCACCCCCTCGGTGCACACTCTCCGGGTTGTTGTTGGCTTATTTTTTTGGAGGGGGTGTGTGTTTTTTTTGTGTGTGTTTTTCGAAAAAAAAATTTTCTGTTGGAAGATCAAGACCGGCCAAAAATCCACGATCAAAATGTGTTTGCATTAGATTTCTCCTCGGAAGAAGCGGCGATCCTGGCGGCCAGGCCCCCCGGGGGCAGCGCGGGGCACGAAGTGGCGCTCCGGCGGGTGACACTGTTTGATCTGTGACTGTTTGGAAGGTGGAGCGGCGCTGACATCTCCCCCGGCGCATGTATGTACGGGGGCTTCACTCCTGTCTTGTTTGCTTTCTTCCTCCTAGACTAAGTGCGGGGAGGAAAGGACAGCCGGTCGGCCTCGCTGGCGCACAATGAGAGAGCTGCGACCCGCGCACTAGCAGCGCCCGCCGCGACCCCCACCGCCAGCAGAGAGGGGCCGAGAAAGTTGCGCGCGGAGACTCGCGGCTCGCCCAGGAAGGCGCGGGAGCGCCCGGCGGCGCCCGGA